TGTGTGTGTGTGTGTGTGTGTGTGTGTGTGTGTGTGTGATTAAAGTAGCTATATGCATGAACAAATAGTTATTTATTTATTGTTTGTTTGTTTGTTTGTTAAATAAGATGCCACATCTCTATCTGTCTGTTCATTCATTTATCATGTATCTCTATATATATCCTTTTATATTTATCTGTCTATTTGTTTTATCTGACTTAAACTAGGATGCCACTGGAGATCATTCTCAGGATTCTCTCGTACTTGGGTACTGGGTCTCTTTTCTGCATTGGTTTTGTCAACAAGCACTTCCATGAACTGTCCAACAGCAAGTGCGTGAGTTTGTTTTACTCCAGACCCCCCCTTTTTTTCTCTCTCAAAGCTGTGTGTGTGTGTGTGTGTGTGTGATTAAAGTAGCTATATGCATGAACAAATAGTTATTTATTTATTGTTTGTTTGTTTGTTTGTTAAATAAGATGCCACATCTCTATCTGTCTGTTCATTCATTTATCATGTATCTCTATATATATCCTTTTATATGTATCTGTCTATTTGTTTTATCTGACTTAAACTAGGATGCCACTGGAGATCATTCTCAGGATTCTCTCGTACTTGGGTACTGGGTCTCTTTTCTGCATTGGTTTTGTCAACAAGCACTTCCATGAACTGTCCAACAGCAAGTGCGTGAGTTTGTTTTACTCCAGACCCCCCCTTTTTTTTTCTCTCTCAAAGCTAAAAAAAAAAGAAAATCAATCAAAATGATTTCTTCCTTATCCTGATGTCCTTGCAGTGCTATGTGGTATCAGTTTTACATCCATGAACGTACCAAAAAGAAGAAAGCCAGCCAAGAAGACCAGATGATACATGTCCTTGGTATGGTGGGTGTGCAGGAGAGGCCGAAGGGATACTGGAGACACACGTTCTTCAAAGAAATTGCCGGCCTGAACTTGAACAAGTGGAGAACGAAACTACGACTCATCGACCCTTTTTCAGGACTGCCGCGTCATACAGAGGAAGTCATAAGGTTAGAGGTTGTGGCTTTTTTGGTTTAGTTTATTTGAGATTTCACAAATATGTGATCTAATTAAATGTGTAAATCTTAAAATCGATGTCTCTTGAAATCCCTTTTATATTTTATGATTATTATATCCTTCATTTAAGACGACGAGAGCATTGGTTTGGCGTGATGACACGTAATCTGTATGTTTCTTTATATAAATACGTATGCATGATCTATGTTTAGTTGTTTTGATTTAGCCTATCTCTTTCATCTCTCTTTCTGTACATCCCTACATTTAGTAATACACAACAAGACTTTGTAGTCAAAATATCGTCTTTGTTGTGACCTATGTAATTTGTTGAAGATGGCATATCCCCCATCAAATATATGTCAGGGTGTGTTTTTCCCTCCTGCAGTGTCTGGGCTTATTAAAGGTGAGTGTGAGAGTCAGCGTCTTAGATTTGCTCTGTGCTCCTGGGTGATGGGATACGGAAACACGCTTGATGATCTGCAGGCCGCGGAGTGCTGTTGTCTTAACCTCTGATTAGAGCTGCCGGGCCACTCAATTTTTCGACTCAATGAGCGTGTGGCATACAGGGGGAATGAAAATAATTGTAGTCCCCTCAGAAGGCTGGGTGAATTGTAGAAATAAATTGCTTGGCCCCTACCTCTTGCCCAGACAAATCCCCATAGATTCCTCAGTTACAAAGACACCGAAGGATCAGATTTACTTCGGAAATAATCATCTCCACTGACTTGCAGACACAACCAACAGCTATTAATCTCTCTGGGACTCTGCTTGTATCTCGTCTTACAGCATTAATTGATATCATATGGTGCCAATGCCAGGCACATGATGCATCATATTAGGTATTTCCCCAAACTAATGCCCTGCTTCTTTCAGAATTAATGTCATTCATTGTTAGTATCTTGCTAAAACAGACATTTCCCTGCTCTTAATCAACTGAATTAGGTTAATAACAGCACTGCACATCAGTCAGTCAATCAATCAATAGTATTTTTGTTTTGTTTCCCAGTTAATCTTTCAGTTTTCATCTTTCTACATGAACACAATTTTGATTCTCAAAAAAAAAAAAAAATGAATAAATAAATAAATACAGATTATTGTTTTTTTTAGCAGCCTTATTTTTATGATACTTTGGCTCTTTACCTTGGATTCTCCACCTTTAAAAATTGTTTTGTATTTATGCATTTAAAATAGTTTGTTTCATTCATTCATTTTATTAACTTAATACAAATGTCTCTGAAAACAACATTCTTTCATATTTCAGAATTGTAGCAGTTTTGCAAGTAAAGATGTTTATCTTGTTTTAGGAATGTTCTTTTTTTTTTTTTTTTACCCATTGGCAACATTTTTCTTATTATTTTAGGCATAAACGTGACTAAACTTTATAAGAGTTTTGCTTTATACATTTTATTCAATTCATTAAATAAAATGAATAATAACTTAATGAATAACTTAATTCAAAATATAGTCTCTAAAACAACATTATATTTCAGTTTTCTTAATTCAGAATTATAACTTTTGCAAGTAATGCAATTTATCTTGTTTTAGAGATGCTCATTTATTAATAAAAACATTTGTATTATTATTTTAAGCCTAAACCTCAATTTCTAACTTAATTTGACTTTTGCTTTAAGTATGCTAAACAAATTAATTAATAATTAACTTTAGAATATAGTATCAAAAAAATAAAATTTTCTCTCAGTTTTCATATTTCAGAACATTTTTGATGTAATGTTTTATTATTTTATTATTTATTAGGTATAAACCTTACTTTTTAACTTCATTAGATTTTTGCTTTATACATGCTTAAAAATGCAATTGATATTACACTTACTTAAAAATATAGTATTTGAAAAACATCTTTCAGTTTCATATTTCAGCATTATACATTTTTTTGCATAAGTAAAGAAGTGTATCTTGTTTTAGGGATGCTACAGGAACACAAGACATTTTCATCAGCTTAGTGTTTTCTTTTATGATACATTTGATGTTTTCTTTATGTTGCATTCCCCACTTCTTCAAAAAACAACAAAAAAGGCATTGCCCTTAAATGATCTGAGAGCAGAGGTGTCAGATGTGGTTTGTGTCATGTGTGTCTGGCAGGAGTCTGTGCATTACATGGGAGATCACAGTGACTGATGGGAGAGGACGGCAGAGCACCTTTGAGCAGTCTCATGCCTCCTTCAGTAGTACGGCTGTTTTTGTGCTCTGGGGTGCTGTCAGTTGGCCTCCTTTCAACCAGCTCACCTCGCTTGAGCTTCATGGAGTGTTGCGGGTGCCACTCAATTGTCCTGCTCCTTACAGGTATGGTAGGTGCCAATTAGAAAGGTACACCTTTACTCCAACCTAAATGAGTGATGCAGTTGTTTCCATCTTGTGCTTTTCAGGCCGGGCTGGAAATCAGTTATGTCCAAAGTAAAGCTTCAAAGAGAACACAGTGAGTTGTGTGTTTCAGACAAGATTGTCAAGATGCTGTATGTTGGACAGGGCGTAACTTTGGGATTCTGGAAGGTATTTTCCAATTCTAGAGTTGACCTTGTTCATTGTGGAGAAAACATACATTTTGTGAGTCTTCTTTTATTAATATTGCTGTTTTATTTTGCTCTTTTTTCTAAATTGTTGTTTTGTTTATTTAGTGTTTTTTGCTTCTGTTGCACTTGATGTTTTGAATTTATTATGATATCTTAGAATCTTTTTTTCAAAATAAATTCATACTTTTAATCAGCAATCATGCATTAATTGATTAAAAGACTAAAAACTTAAGAGTAAATTAAAAGACTTCCATTTTACAGAAGATTTCTAATTCATATAAATGCTGTTTTTGAGCTTTCTGTTCATCAAAAAATCTTTTACAAATGTTTTCAAAATAATTATGGTAATGTTTCTTGAGTGGCAAATCAGCATATCATGTGACACTGAAGACTGGAGTAATGGTTGCTGAAAATTCAGCTCTTGCCATAACAGGAATACATTTCATAAAAAAAAAAAAATCAAAATAGAAATCAGTTATTTTAAATTGTAATAATATTTCTCAATATTATTGTGTTTTTGCTTAAATAAATGCATACATTTTCAAAAACATTAAATAATTATTACCAAC